TTTCGTTCCGGCCGCCAGCAGCGGCGGCGTCTGGAAGCCCGGCGTCGTCCAGTCGAGCCCGCGTGGGGGTGCCGCCAGCGCCGCTGCGAGCGCCGCTTGGTGGAGCGCCTGGTGCTGTAGCCAGGCCTGCGTCTGCCGCTGGAGAAGCTGTTGTTCGCCAGAAGGTCCGGCGGCTGCGTCGGCGGCCGGCTCTACTGAGCCAGTCGTCGGTTTCCTCGGGCCAGCGGCCGGCTCTGCTGAGCCCTTCATCGGTTTTTTTGTCGGGCCGCGCCCTGCGGCAGCAGCGGCGGGTGCGGGAGGGGCGCGAGGGGCGCCATCACCGCGGCCAGAGTGCGGGCCGGAGAGCTCGCGGCTGCGGCCGCTGTCACGGCGGCCCCGCCGGTCGCGGCTGCGGCTCCGGGACCGCTCGCGCGCCGGGGCACTGGGTCGGCTGCGCCGGTCGCGGCTGCGGCGCGGCTGCGGCTCCGGCATCGCGAGTGGCGGCGAACGGAGTGAGGGTGTCGTGAGGGTGTCCTGGTTGAGCTAAACCCCTGCTCGAACCAGAACGGCTACGGGCGACGGGGACGGACAAAGGAGGGGGAGGGGAGGGGGAGGGGGCCCGTGCTCGGCACCTGTGCTCGGCACGGCGGGCTCGGCACCTGTGCTCGGCCCCTGCGGCCAGCGGTGGTGCTCGGCACCTGTGCTCGGCCTGGAGGCTCGGCACCTGTGCTCGGCACGCCCGCGCGGAGGGAGAGGGAGGGGGGAGGGCAAGCTAGGTGCGCGAGGGGGGGAGGGGGAGGGGCCCGTGCTCGGCACCTGTGCTCGGCCCAGCGGGCTCGGCACCTGTGCTCGGCACCTGCGGCCAGGGGCCCGTGCTCGGCACCTGTGCTCGGCCCAGCGGGCTCGGCACCTGTGCTCGGCACCTGCGGCCAGGGGCCCGTGCTCGGCACCTGTGCTCGGCCCAGCGGGCTCGGCACCTGTGCTCGGCACCTGTGCTCGGCCCAGCGGGCTCGGCACCTGGGTGAGGGAGGAGGGAGGAGAGAGAGAGGAGAAAAGAGAGAGGAGAGAGGAGGAGAAGGAGGAGGAGAAAGGAGAGGAGGAGGAGGAGGAGGGGCGGGCCGAAATAAAGTGGTCGGGGCGGAGGGGGCACTGGGCGGGCGCTGGAGCCGCGGGGGGGGGGGGGGGGCGCTGAGACGGCGGGGGGGAGGGGGCGGTGCGGGGGGGGGGGCGCGGTGCCGAAATAAAATGGTCGGGGCGGAGGGAGGCACTGGGCGGGCGCTGGAGCCGCGGGGGGGCGCTGAGGCGGCGCGGGGGAGGGGGCGGAGCGGGGGGGGAAGGTGCGGTGCCGAAATAAAATGGCCGGAGGCGGAGGGGGCGCTGGGCGGGCGCTGGAGCCGCGGGGGCGCTGAGACGGCGCGGGGGAGGGGGCGGAGGGGGGGGGGGGTGCGGTGCCGAAATAAAGTGGTCGGGGCGGAGGGGGCACTGGGCGGGCGCTGGAGCCGCGGGGGGGCGCTGAGACGGCGCGGGGGAGGGGCGGAGCGGGGGGGGGGTGCGGTGCCGAAATAAAGTGGTCGAGGCGGAGGTGGCACTGGGGGGCGCTGGAGCCGCGGGGGGGCGCTGAGACGGCGCGGGGGAGGGGCGCGGTGGGGGGTGCGGTGCGGGTGCGGTGCCGAAAAATGCACTGGGCGGGCGCTGGAGCCGCGCGGGGCGCTGAGACGGCGCGGGGGAGGGGGCGGAGCGGGGGGGGGTGCGGTGCCGAAATAAAGTGGTCGGGCGGAGGGGGCACTGGGCGGGCGCTGGAGCCGCGCGGGGGCGCTGAGACGGCGCGGGGGAGGGGGCGGAGCGGGGGGGGGGTGCGGTGCCGAAATAAAGTGGTCGGGCGGAGGGGGCACTGGGCGGGCGCTGGAGCCGCGCGGGGGCGCTGAGACGGCGCGGGGGAGGGGGCGGAGCGGGGGGGGGGTGCGGTGCCGAAATAAAGTGGTCGGGGCGGAGGGAGGCACTGGGCGGGCGCTGGAGCCGCGGGGGGGCGCTGAGACGGCGCGGGGGAGGGGGCGGAGCGGGGAGGGGGGGGTGCGGTGCCGAAATAAAGTGGTCGGGGCGGAGGGGGCACTGGGCGGGCGCTGGAGCCGCGGGGGGGCGCTGAGACGGCGCGGGGGAGGGGGCGGAGCGGGGGGGGGGTGCGGTGCCGAAATAAAGTGGTCGAAGCGGAGGGGGCACTGGGCGGGCGCTGGAGCCGCGGGGGGGCGCTGAGACGGCGCGGGGGAGGGGGCGGAGCGGGGGGGGGTGCGGTGCCGAAATAAAGTGGTCGGGGCGGAGGGGGCACTGGGCGGGCGCTGGAGCCGCGGGAGGGCGCTGAGACGGAGGGGGCGCATGATGATGATGATGTGGATGATGATGATGGTGATTATGATGGTGATGATGGTGAGGATGATGATGATGATGATGATGATGATGATGATGATGAAGATGATGATGGGGGGGGGGGTGCGGTGCCGAAATAAAGTGGTCGGAGCTCTAGACACCCTGTGCAAGAGAATAAACTGCAGGACCTTGCGGTGCTGTTTCAGCGCAGCTGTTACCGCCTCGGCTACCGACCCAGCCAGTGCGTGAGAGGCCGCACCGCAGCGCGCAAATAGTCTGCCCAGCCGTTGCCTAGCCAGTCACGCAGCTCCTGCGGTTATGTGCCCACAAGTTCCTTCAAAGACCAGTGCGCTGGCGTCCATCGGATCTTGGGAGGGTCCCGCAGAGAGTGCGCCTGCGGCTGGCCACGAAGATGTCCCGCCACGCTCTAACATGTTTGGCGCGACCCTGCCCGAGCTCGGGGCACCAACGCTCTCCTTTCCTGGACGAGCGCCAGCAGGTCGGTGACGAAGCACTGGTGATCAGGGAAAGCGTCGGGCCCCCCCCTGATCGCGTACCTCTCAGCACGGCCGACAGTCTGCACCAAGTACGGAAGGGGCCCGAACCGCGCCCGAACTGGGAGCCAAGAGTGAGGATCAAGCTGCACAACTGTTTGTCCACACCCCCGCACCTCGGGAACACCTGAGCCGTAACCAGATCCGTCGGTGTAAGAAACGGGGCCCCAAACGCCATGGGCGTCGCCCCAAAGGCAGACATCATGCCTCCGCGTAACTTCGTGTGGCAGAAAGACGGGAGGCTCGGGTATGCCAAAAACGAAGTAGGACTGCTCGAAGTTCGGCGTGCCTGATCCAAGACCCGCTTGGATAAGTTGGTCGCGCACCTCAGCCAGCACTTGGGGGAGGTGGAAGATGCCACGGCCATTCAGCGTTGGTGTCGCTGTCTCGGGCCCGCCATGCCCGCATGGTGCATCAAGCGCCGAGGCTGAAGCCGCCGCCGCAGGGGAACGGGTCACTCCGTTCCGAAGCAAGCGGTGGCGCACAGAGGACACCCTGCGCGTCCAGCCACGCCTTCTCCTGATGGCCGTCGTACCCATCGGGTGGCACAAGGTCGAGGACGGGGTGGAGGAGGGGAGCTGAGCCGTCTGTAGAGGTCCACCGACCCCATCAGCTCCGACCCCATCTGGGAGGCCTAGAGTCTGAGACAAAGGCACGACGAAAAGATTTGACGAACCTCAGAGTCACGACGCGGGGGTTCTGGGCGGCTTCGGCCTCCAGGGGCCCCCATACTGGGCCCCAGGGCCGTCTGAGAACGACTCAGGATGAGAAGCCCATGCCTCGGGAAGGGGTCCAGGCCTCCGAGGAGTCACGTTGTGAGACAACTGCGTCTCGGGGGACGACGGCAGGATGAGGAACAAATCTGATGAGGATGAATCGGGAATCTCGGAGAGTTGTCGGGCTGGGAGAGAATGTCGGGCGCCGCGGCCATTACTGGAGCGCTGCTAAAAAAAACACTCCGAGAGCGTTCCAAAACGCTCTCGGGCGACCTTTCCTCACCCCAGACCTGCCTGAGTTCCTTCGCTCGAACAACTTGCCATCGCTCAACGAAAGATTGCTGGGTCGTCATCGTCGTCGTCGAACCCGCCGTTACCATGGCCGTCGCTACCATCATCCAGGAGAAGTGGTCGAGGGAAATCGAGCGACCCAGGTTCTGGGACAGATTTGCGACTCGTTTGGCCCCCAGGGCTGCCCTCGTCGCCAGTTGGATGCGCTTCGGAAGTCTACTCGGGACGCGCTCCAGGCGAGATCAGGTGTGAACTGGTTCCGACGTTTTTGCGTGGCTTCAGGGTGCTCTGATGACTCTTGATGTCTGCGGCAGCTTCTGGAGGTTTGCGAAACTGTGCTCGGAGGCGTTCGCGAGAGTGAGGGAGAGGCGGAGGATACACGAGAGAGGGGTGCAGGACTGGATGAGCCTGGCGCCGTTTGAGCTGCCTCAGCGCACATCCACCTCCTACTCTACGTCTACATCCGCCTCTCTCTCATCCACCTAGTCCTCATCCACATCATTATCCCCTGTCTCTTCCCCTCAAACATCCTTCCAATATTCCCCTCTCCTTCTCTACCTCTCCCAGGGCGGGACGGAAACGCGGTCCAGTGGTGCAGTTCCTTAGCTTGGGTGGGGGGAAAGACTACTGATCAGAGACGCCAGTTCTTCGAAGCTGTGGCGCATGCTGTTGTCGCATCGCTAATGATTGTCCAGATGTGCGCCTCTTATCCACGGGACCCTGGGATTATCCCGGCAAGCCTCTTCGGACCCCGAAAGCAAGAAGCACCCCAGCGGATAAGCAAGTCGCGGTTTCTTGATGCGCGTCCCCTCTACGGCGCGCCGCTGGCAGACTGCCCAGGACGGGCCAGTGACTCGCAGAGCCCCCTGGCTCGGCATCTTGCCTGGGACCCTTGGTTCCAAGGGGCCGTCGGAATTGAATCGCAACGTCCCGACAGGCTCGCTTCCTCGGCGGCCCCCGTAACGAGGGCTCGCTTCCGCCTCGGGCGTTACTGGGAGGTCTCATCTCACTTTACGTTCGCCCGTGCCTCCACCATCGCCAATTCGTCCTCCTCCAGCTCTCACCCCCCTGAGAAGGACACTGGTTTGGGGAGTGGTTCCTCCTGGCTGATGGCGGCAAGGACGACAGTGAAGCCGCTGACAACCATCCTCGGAGGGCAAATTCTGCCTGCAAGCTGGTTTCTCCTGGGGGCCGATCATGAGGCAGAGGCTATCACCTAATACTGCTGGTACGTATCAGCTGTACTGTGGTAAGCCTTTGTACCAAGATCGACACCCTGAGTAACCACGTGCCTGGCAGACTTCACTCTGTAATCCTGTGCTTCATGAGCCAGGCCCACTGCATGAAGCCGCTGGGCTCGAGCACCCTGGCGCGTGCAGCTCTGCAAGGGCGGACGGAGACGACTGCCCCTGGGGGAACAAAAAACACAAGCGCTCGATATTGTGCACCCGAGCACTCGCGCCCTCAGAAGCAAACCAGCGGGCCTGTTGCTCTTTCTGGTGTGCTCTCTGGCCGTACTTTGTATATCCATGCGTTCCTGCACCACGCGGACCTTATCTGCAGTCCGGACGATCTCTGAGAGGTGTGTTGCAGCAAACAGGTCCGCCTGGACCCAGGTCAGCATCGTGCAGGCACCAAGACATTTGACTAAGCAGACCAGAAAGAGGAGAAAGGGGAAGAAGAGGAACTCTGCACTCGGAGAAAGGAATAGGAGGAAGAGGAGGAAGAGAAGAGGAGGAGGAGCAGGAGAAAGAAGCAGACCAGGAAGAGGAGGAAGCGAAGGAAGAGGAACGTTGCATGTTGTACTCGGGGAAGGGGATCGCCCCTGCTCCAATCGGCGGGTGGACCCGGACCAGACTGGTCAGCGAGCAGGGCCAAGGCTTCCCGGACGGACGGACGGAGGACCCGGAGGAAGGAGGTCAGCGTTTCCAGTGATCGGGCACCAGGGCCGCCGTCCAAAGAGGATTTTACCTGGAAGCTGCGGACCAGATTGGAAACATGAGTAGGACGCAGAAGTACATACTGTTGCTAGATGTCCTCCTCGGAGACGCACGTCCGACCCGAACACATGTTTACAAACATCTTGTGGTAGATCGGTCCCCCAGGGAAACGGCCAGAAGGCGCCCGCGGATGTACCATACAATTTCTCGGCGCGCGCGTCGCCCCGTTGAGGGGCGACGAACACATGGTATTAGCATCTTTGGGTGACGCCGGCGGTGCACTGCCTGCTGCCGCGGTGCCCTCTCGCCCAAAATGGCCAGGCACTCGCTCCGCCTCCGACTCTGCTCGGGGAAGGTGGGCGAGGGAGGAAGAGGAGGAAGAGGGGGAGGAGGGGGAGGAGGCGGAGGAGGAGGAGGAGGAGGAGGAGAAAGCTTCTCCCGAGGTGGGCGAGGAGGAGGAGGAAGAGGGGGAGGAGGTGAAGGCGGAGGAGGAGGAGGAGAAGGAGGAGGAGGGGGAGGAGGACGAGGAGGAGCAGGAGGAGAAGGGGGAAGCGGAGAAAGCTTCTCCCGAGGTGGCCGAAGGGGCGGCTGCCGCTCCGCAGAGCGACGCGCCGCCTGGCCATGGGCACTCGCCGCCCAGCGCAGAACGCGGAGGCGAGACCCCCGCCGCCCCCGAGAGCGGGGCTGCGGCACCAGAACTATGTTCCCAGATGTTCTGGGTTGTCGTGTTTTCCCCACTGCCCATAGTTCCTCACATGCTCCTGGCAAATCAGCGATGCATTGTGTTGATTTGTGTGTTTCCCCCTCCTGAGTTTTATTGTGTCCGGAGACCGCCACTGGATCGGTGTTAAAGAGGGTGGCCCGCGCTCCACAGACTTCCCCGCACAAGAACTCACGGAACGATGAAGCTCCAAGCTGGACCACGATTTCAGCCGGGACCGACAGTCCCGGCAGTCCTATAGGCCCACCACGAGATGCTCTCAGAACCCAGAAGTGCTTGCTCCGAGGACAGAAGCCATGCTCTTCGAACCTGAGCCCGAGGCGTGAAACCAGGACGGCCTCGACCAGACATCCTCTGAGAACAGGCCGTGCAGACCTCCAAGAGGCCCTCAGATGGTGGGCTTGTTCTCCACCGCCACCACCATAAGGAGGGGGAGGGGGTCCTCCTCCTCCTCCTCCTCCTCCTCATTGTCCTCCTCCTCCTCCTCCTCGTCCTCCTCATCCTCCACCTCATTCCCACTCTAACTTCTCGTGGTGGTGGTGGAAAACGGGCCCATCATCAGAACCTTCCTCGGTAGGCCAAAAAGGCAAGCCAGGGCGCTCCCGAACGCGGCGCCAGGGGCCGCGGCCCGGGGCGGCGGGCGGCCAGGAGACCCCCCTCCGTCTTGCCCGCCTCGCCTCCACCGGCCCGCATCAAGGCTGCGCCCGAGACCGCTCGAAGCAGCGACACGTATATAAGATGAAGACAGGACGAGGATAACATCGGGTGAGGACACATCGGGGATCTCTGGGGCCCGGCGGCTGAGGGTGTCTCGGGCGCCACGGCCCTCTCTCAGGGCGCTCTGGAGGGCGCTCTGAGAGCGTCCTGGAACGCTCTGGAAAGGTTTATGCTCGTCCTAGCCCCGCTCGAAAAAGCGCGAGCTTGCCGCACCGCGAAGCCGGATCGGATCGGACACGGAACAGATCGCCAGCGAATCCTCCCGAACCGGATCAACGTCGGAGATCCGCCGCGCCTGGCTCCAGCTGGCCCGGCCGGTGCTGGCGAGTCGAGCCGCATCGAATCTAGTCGGAATCCCGACCCCAGCCGGCGAATCGAGCATCGAATCGGATCGCTGGATACCCTGAAGGATCCCTGGGAGGCCACCGAACGCTTGGCATGCCGTGTCAGACTCTACTGTTCGCCACCTGATCTACAAACAAGCACCATGGAAATGGGAGCGAAGCGAGGAGACAACACACAAGCAAAACTCGATCTGGAAGGGGGAGCAAGCGAGGCGAGGGGAAACGGCATTCGCAATGTCCTGGTCTGAACATGTAGCTTTCCGCAGTCAACAGGCCAGGCCAGCGTAAGTCCAGACAGCTTCCATGCATATAGTAAAGCAGGTATGACAAGCGGCCAGGGCCGCAGATGTTGTATCAAACGAGGCTGCTCCTGAGAGACCCATCATTGAGCCGAAGCCCTCGAAAGCAGCCCGCGTGCAGCTGCGCACAAACTGGTGGAATACATGCCCGTGCAACGTGTAGTGCTAGCGTAAGTCTCCGAGTGAGAGGAGCATCCGAAAGAGCCCCGGGCACTCCGAAAACGGCGTGGTATGCCTTGGACTCCGTCTGCTGGGACGTTGCCAGAGGCCCACACCGTCAAAACTCTACTGCGTCATTTGTTATTGTAATGCGCTGAGCTGTCCTCCGTCCCTCCTCCTCCTCCTCCTCCGCCTCCTCCTCCGCCTCCTCCCCTCTTCCTCGTTTGCACGATTGCGTACCCAAGTGCTCTGGTGGCGCCGAGAGGGGGACTCGCCACTCACACCGGAAAGGGAGGAGGAATGGGAGGGATGCGGGGTGGGAAAATGAGCCCTTGCTGCCTGCATGAGAACTGTCTTCGTTTATAATGTCAAGCTGCAACTTCTTGAACCTGTCCGCGGCTGTGGGGACTACCTTAGACTAGCAGGAGTGTGCGACAGCAGGTCAGCTAGCGGCAGTGCGGCCTCATGCACCTCCAGGCGGTCGTGACCAGCATCAGACACTCGCTCAGGCCCTGGGAGGCAACGACGCTCCACAGCAGCCGCCTGGGCGAGGGGGACCGGCAGGCCGAACGCAAGAAGGCGTTGCCCATCATACCACAGCTCGAAAACTGAGATGTGCAGGTCACGGAGACCCCCAGAATACCCATGTGTTCGTGACCGCGGACCACCACCGCCGCCGCCAACCATGCTAGAAGTGACGTTGTCGTTGCGCTCTTCGGTGCTGGCGTAATTGCCACTTCCTGCCCGCCACTACAAAAAAACAACTCGCAACAACAAATTGTGCCTGCTGGCAGCCCGGCCTACGAGCCACGCGCGAGAATGCGGGGACGAACGTGGATCGTGGCGTGATCCAGGGTGACGGCGGAGCTGGAATGGGCCAAACCCGCAACTCAAGGATATGCCTTGGCCGCCAGGGGAAACGAGCAAGAGATAACGTGACCCCTGAAACACACCGCAAACAAAACATCGAAACACTCTGTATAATTTAACGGGCGAAGAACGGTATAACATAAACTTTTTCGCTGTCGGAGTCGGGGGCGCCTGTCCCAGCGCGGCTGGAAATTTTATACCTCTACGGTGCCACCGTAAGGGTATAAACTGTCCAGCCGCCCTGGGACAGGAGCCCCCGACAACGAAACAGTTTATTTTGTACCGTTCTTCGCTCGCTGAATAATGAGAATGCTAGGGCAACACTGGCGTCTTGAAACGAAGCCCGGGGCGCAGAGCGCCCCAGGTGGGTCTGGAGGCCGACCAGCCCTGCCCTCAGGGCCCCTGGGGTTCCGCTGGGGCCACTTCATGGGGGCCGCATCTGTGCGCACCCCGAGGCCCTGCCACGTGTCTCTGGGCCTTCGAGTGAAAACAGACGTCTGGGGATGCACATGCCATGGGTGCCGGTGGCTTTTTCGGGCAGCGCTTCCTCGCGACGGCCCCAGCTTGTGCGAAAGGCTCTCGCGCGCTTCTTGCTTCGACAACAGCCGCCAAGGCCCCCCTCATACCCCCTCTTCCTTCTGCCCACATCTCCCCTGATGACTCCGCCGGATCTACGCCACAGGCGCCCGCCTGTACGGATCTACTCCCGCTCTCGATTGCGCTGACGCACCTGTTTTCTACACCTGCTGGCCTGCTCCTGATCCTGACTCACAACCACCTGATCATCCTACTCCTCCTCCGTGTCCACCTTCTCATGTTGCTCCTCCTCCTCCTCCTCCTCCTCCTCCTCCTCCTCCTCCTCCTCCTCATTGTCCTCCTCCTCCTCCTCCTCCTCCTACTCCTCCTCCTCCTCCTCCTCCTCCTCCTCCTCCTCCTCCTCCTCCTCCTCCTCCTGCTCCTCCTGCTCCTCCTCCTCCTCCTCTTCCTCACTGTCCACCTCCTCCTTTTGCTCATCCTTTGCTGCTGCCACCTCGTGCGGACACAATCGACAAGTCAAGCCTACACGCAAACTTTGGCGGTCGCGGCCTCGCGCGCAGCGCTGACTCGGCGCAGGTCGAGCAGACGGCATGTAGCTGACGCGCGCGGCCATGCCCTCACACGCGGGACCACTTTGGAGCCACCAAACATCCCCGACTGGGCAGGGCGGGGAGTGATATAACTGGGGCAGCGTCCGCAGACGGAGGCGGCGGTACACCGGCCGAACGACACCTACCAGTTGCGGAGAATGCGCCAGGGCCGAGAATCCGACGAGCCAGGCTGCCAGGCGAGCTGCCCACGGTGGATAGGACGGCGGAGGACAGACACACATACACACACAAAACAACAAAAACAACAAAAAACGAAGCGTTTGCATGGAAGCGCACACAAGTATACACACGATGTTTGTGATACGTGCTACGTGCGTGGGAACGTGCGCGTCGCAGCCAGATGCCGCTCGCACGTCCACGCATGCAGACAGTCACGCGTTCAACACGCAAGCCCGTGGCGTGCGTGAGTCGTTGCCAGCGCATGGGCAAGCAGAACGCAAGCGTGAACGCACCACGTAGACGTTGCAGGGCAACCGCGGGAGTAGGAAAAACAAGTACATGCTCAGCCTCCAAACCGAAGTCATAAACACACACACACACATGTACCTTCACCCACACGACCGGCAAACCGAGGAGCATGCGTCCGAGGCTGCGGTGATCCTGGTACACCCTCTGCCCTGCGGTGGCGCGCCCAGGGGGGAAGGCAGCGGGGGGAGCCCTCTCAGACGGCCCAGACGGCCTCTGGACCTTCTGAGAATAGAGGCCTCGATCCTAGACCGGGTCGGAGTACATGAGGTCGGAGGAGCGCGCCGCATCGCCGATGCATCGGCGATGCATCGGCGATGCATCGGCGATGCACCGGCGATGCATCGGCGACGTCAACATGAATCTAATCGGTCTCCACATCGAGCCGCATCGCCGATGCATCGCCGATGCGGCACGATCCTCCGACCCTCCGACCCCATCTAGGAGGCCTAGAGAGACGACCTCTCTATATAGCCTCGTCCGAAGCCCCGCCGCCTTCGGAGAAGGCTTGCCCCGTCTCCCTTCCCCCCCTTCGGCGCGCCGCCCGTGAACACTCCGTGGCCCCCTGGCGCCAGCCTCGCGGCCTCGGCCACGCCATCGCTCGTCGGGTGTGCATGCGCCCCAGCGAGACGAGGCGAGCCGAGACGAAAGTTGTGTACCTACACACACAACTGGTGCATTCTGTGGGCGCACCCAGTGCTTGCGCCGCCTTGCGCCGAACTTCCGCCGACGAAGGCGCCCGCGTTTGACTTCCGACGGCCTTCCGCTGGCCTTCCGCCGCCTTCCGCCGAGGGAGGGGTTCCGACTCTTTCGATCCCTCCGCGGCATCGAAGCCATTTCTGGAGCGCGCCCTGCATACGTTTAGCATGGGGGAAACGGGTCCAGTATGAAACGGCTCTTAGACCCTGGGGCCTTCCGCCCGGACAGACTCTTCACCCTGAGCCGTGTTCTGACAATTTCGGGGCCAACGACGGGCCCCGAAGAGGGAAAAAAAGAAAATGGGAACAAAAACCTCAGGATCCGTTTCCCTCAGGACCCGTTCAGTCAAAACGTGTATCAAGGACGGGTGGTCACGACGCACGACTCTTGGGGGCCGAAGTCAGGACTCTTGGGCGGCGGGCGACCAGTGAAGACGGCAGAGGACGGGCCGCGGAGGCATCGACACAGAGGGCACCCTATAGAGGAAGGCGCGCGTCCTTACTGGGCGCGGTGAGGGTATGTGGACGCAGACACAAAGAAACACGTCGTGGCGGCAGCGCCTCACCAGGTCGCTCGAGACAGGGGCGCTCCTCGTCCAGCAGACCAGCACGACCACGGCCACTGCCTCCAGAGGGGGCGGCGGGCGCGGCGGCGGGAGAGGCGGGCCTCCCCGGCCCTCGCTTGTAGCCCCACTCCGCCCTCGCCCAACCCTTCGTCCTGCTCCTCATCCTCCCCCCTCTCCCCCTCCGCTTTCTCCTTCCCTCCGCCGTCCGCACTCCTCGTCCTGATCCATCCCTCCTGACGCCTCCTCCACTGGCCTCCTCCAAATTCCCCCCTGTCTTCCCTCTCATCCGTCTCCGCCTTTTCCTCCTCTTCCTTCCTCCTCTTCCTCCTCCGAATCCGCATGATGATCCCCCACACCGTTCACTCCTCATCACTCCTCACTCCTCCGTCTCCACCTTCTCACCTCCTGTAAAGAATTCGTCCCTGTCCCACCACCAGACGTGTTGTTAGGGTGGACTGGGCGTTTCGCATCCTCACCACGTATGTCCCTGAAGCTTGCAAGCTCCAACAATTAGACTGATGAATGGCGGTCAAAGTGGGGCCCTCGTCTTTGCGTCGCGCGCACTCGTCTGTTCAATGACACCCTTGCGACAAAAGAACCCAAGCAGCTTTACACTTATAATGGTAGGCATGATGGCGGTCACGATGGGGTCCAAGATGGGGGCCCATGATGGGTGGATCGGGATAGGGAAAAAAGGATAGGGAGTTAAGGATCATAGTACTGACATGACAGAAGGGTTAAGGACCGGGATCGGGGATGACGCTATAGGGTAGGTGTGGAGATGCACAGGGATGGAGATAGAGGCAGGGGCAGATGTATAGGGCGAGGGATAGAGACAGGGGCACGGACACAGATGGGGGTGGGGATAGACAGCGGGAGACCACCGGAGACAGTGGCAGGCACTGGGAGACAACGGGAAACAAGGGGGATAGGAACGAAGATAAGGACCCGGTATACGGACAGGGATGGACAGTGGCAGACAAGGAGCGACGATGGGAGACAACGGGACACAACGGGAGACACTGGGAGACGACGTCGCCCGACCGATTCCGCATCCAGCAGCGCACCTAATGGCGCCTTAGACAAGCAATGCAGAAACCGGACAGGCAGGCTGCGCAGGGAAAAATCAACGTTGCACGGCATGGATCGAGGGAGGTAGTTTTTGAGCTCAGGGCTCTCCCCGTGGCACCGCACATACTCGTTTTCGAAACACTGGAAGCTGCACGGATTCGATACCGTACCGCTGGGCACGGAATGGGCGTGTCCTCAGGTTCGTTGCCTGATCCATGAAGCCTTAGCTTTCAATATTGCTGCGTCTTCAAGGGCTCAGACCCCAAATTGCCAAATCTCTTGGGTCTTGCCGTGTGCCCCCTGGGCATTGCCTGCTCGCGTGACTTGTTCGGGCCCAAGAGGGCCCCAGGACGGGCCAAGAGGGCCCAAAGAGGCCCCGAAGACGGTCCAAGAGGGCCCCGAGACGCCCAATGATCGTTCCATGACGCCCAAGATGGCCCCAAGACGGCCAGAGAGGTCTCCGAGACGCACCAAGAGAGCCCTAAGAGCCTTCCCAAGAGGGCCCTGAGAAGCCAAATCCTCGGATTTGCCAGGAGGCTAAAATGATTTTGGAGTCACTCCCGACGCTCCAAGACAGCCCAAAAGGCCCCCAGGACCACTCCAAGACGGCGTCAGAGGCCCCCAGGAGGACCCAAACACGGCCCAAGAGGGTAGAGGCGCCCAAGACGACCGAAGATGGGCCAAAGACAGCCCCAAGAAGGGCCCAAGAGGGGGAACACGAACCGAAATCCAAGTCTTCCGCCCCTGGAGGTCTCCAGGAGTAAACGAGCGCGATCCACTACTCGCAAAGTAACTACTGGCAATTGGCCTGGATCCGCCGCGGGGGATCTACGATAAATTACATCGAAGCAGTCATTTGTTCCTCGCCCGTTTGCGAGTAGGCACTTTGCGAGTAGTGGAACGCGCTCCGGTGAAGGAGGCCCCAAGCAGGCCCCAACAGGCCACAAAACGGCCCTCAAGAGGGGCCAGGATCGCCCGAAGACGGCCAAAGCGGCCCCGAGCAAGCCCCGAAAGGAGCCCACAACTCATATTACGAGTACTACTGCTACACATGACCCAGTGGGTGCATGCCGGAGCACGTCCCAAAGGGTGCACGTGTAGTTTCACGTTCGTGTCCCAACGGACGCGTGCGAAGCACGTCCCAGAAGGTGCGAGTACTGCACGTGTCGCAGTGGCCGCGTGCCATGGCACGTCCAGGAGGGTACGCGGGTATGGCCCGTGAGAACGATGCGAATACTAGCTATAGTGAGAGGTGGCTCAAGAGGCTCCCCCGAGTCATCCGTCTCCTCTTCCTCCTCCTCCTCCTCCTCTTCCTCCTCCTCATCCTCTTCCTCCTCCTCCTCCTCTTCCTCCTCCTCCTGATATCAGTATCCTCCCTCTCCTGATCATCCACCTCATGCTCCTCCAAGTATTCCCCGAAAGATTTTCACTGCGACTCGGGGAACGCCAGGTCCGATAACTGATCCAAGCTCTGGACCCCCAACTTTTGGCAACAGAGGCGCTCGGCAGAAAGGCAGGGGGCGGCGGTTATTCGCCGTAGGCGTCTCCGACAAATCGCCATCCTCATTTCTCTTCTTCCCCTCCTCCCCCGCCTCCTCCCGGAGGAGGAGGAGGAGGAGGAGGAGGAGGAGGAGGAGGCTGGAGGGGCAGCGGTAACCACCTCGTGGATCAGGTCGACGACGAACAGCAGCTTGAAACTCGACCAAATGTGCTTCATCATGGCGTGGACCTGAGCCCAAGCCTCCGACACTGCGAGTTTTCCGCTCCTCCTCCGTCAACTCTCCATCTATCTGGTTCCTGGTTCCTGTCGGCCTAAGGGTTCGTCGAACGCGGCCTCCCTCCATCCATCTCGTTACCCTCCTACTCCTCCGCCTTCTCCTCCTTCTCCTCCTGTCGGCGATGGGACCACCCGCAACGTCAAGCTCCCTGGTTGTTGTGATCAGTCCTCTTCCTGTTTCTCCTCCTCGCCGTCCCCCTCTTGTCAGATCCCCGGCGGCGCGCACAAAAGAAGGTGGGGCGAAGGAAAGGCCTTCTGAGAGGGCAGGAGGATGCCCTGAAGAGCCTGGAGGCTTCTAACAGGGCCCTGCAGAAGCAGACGTACAACAGAAAAATGGTCAAGCAACTTCTCACTCAAAACATCTGGGCCAGCTTCAAGGGAAGTTCCTCAAAACAGACCTGGGCCAGTGTCTGTTACTAACGCCGGAGGGGCGAACCTGCTCAAGAAACTAAGCCACTTTCCCTGCAAGTAGGTTAATTTCGAGAGGAGGCTTCTGAAGCACATGCTCGACTGTAACCCTGCGACGCCCCCCTGTTTTCGCTTTCGGCGGAACCAAAAACGATGATACAGTAATCTCAGGGATGTGCCATCCGAAACTGAGGGAATCCTCAAGATCGGCACCGAGGTAAGGTGATGCCAAACATAGGGATGGGGACATGTTTCCGAATGGTGAATATTTCTCGGATCGGCGCTGCCCCCCCCTCCCAAGCGCGCGGAGCTCGCCAAGGGCGGCACCGGAGGCGCCGCCAGGGGGGGCTCGGTCCCCCAGAAGTCCGCGCGGGCCTCCGACAGTGTATGTTTTCTGTTGCGGCTGTTCGTTCTTTGTCTCCTCCGTGCGAGCACGCAGTAACCGAAACACAGGCAGGACCTTCCCGAGATCCTCGCGCACTCTCTTGGCCTGCGCCCGCGGGACGCCCCCCCCCCCCCTCCCCAGGAGGGCCCAGAGCCGAATCGATAAGTCGAATCGGCGATCAAAATGAATCGGATTGGCGGAAATCGGCATCCGAGTGGGGCGAAGTCGAATCGGCTGAAATCGGCTGGTAGGTCTCCATTGGGAAATCGGAGCCCAAATCGGAATCCGATGTCGAATCGAATCGGAATCGGAGGCCGTCGAAATCCAATCGAATCGAATCGAATCGGAGGAATCGAAACGAGCCCTGGGACCCCCCCCCTCCCCCGAGGGCGCGGCGCGCGCGGAGCCTCGAAGAGCGGCCATAGCGCGGGCAGGACGACAGACAGGCCGACGACGCACCTCGTGCTAGGCCCGTGCGCACCGCCGACTATTTCGGCTCTCGCTCTCCCCCTTGACTTCTTGGCGGCGCGCATCAGGGGGTGGGGGGAGGGGGGAAGGCTTCTCAGAAGCACCCCTGCTTCTAAGAAGGCCCCGGCCTTACATCTACAGGTGTAAGGCCTGCACCTCCTGAGAAGCAGGGGTGCTTCTAAGAAGCCTTGGCCCCGCTCCCCCATACCCCCCATCTGCCCGTGGTCAAACTTCGGCCGCCCAGGGTCGGGGCACGACTTAACGGGGGCACAGCCAAACGTTGGTCGGGCATGTCCTCCGACAGGCAGATTTAGGAGGAAAAACGGAGCATCATCAAAACATGTTCAAAACTGGTCACAAATGGCCGAAACATCGTGCCCAGACAATGTGTGACTGTTTTTGTTGAAGGTTCCTCCTCCAGCGGGACGCGCCCGACTTGAAGCTGAACAAGGGCTTGGGCTTTTCCGTCTGCTCCCGTTGACTGTGCCCCCGTCTACGGAGACCAGGACCCCCTCCACCGGGGCAGGGCCAAGCGTCGGCGGCGAGCCCTGGGGGGAAGCGAGAAGGGGCGGGCCTCCTCAGAAGGCTCGGAAGTCCCCCGACCTCCCGAGAAGTGCTCTGAGCCTGTCCCGAAAACGCAGAAACAGCTCACAGAAGGCGCGAGGGCTTCGGAAAAGTCCCGCCGCCTTCTGAGACGGCCTTCTCCTTCTCACTTCCCCCCGCCTCGCTCGCCGCCGAAAACGCGGTTTTTCGACGTTCCCCGTGCCTTGGGAAACCAAAAGGTATCGATACTGCTACTTCCCAGACCTCTCCCGGGGTGCGTTCCGACCATGACTTCGCGGCGCATCCAGCGGTGGCATCGAGAGCCTCCGAGGAGGCCGGGAAGGGGAAAGCGAGCGAAGGGCAGCGGTATCGGCACCTTCTCCTCGGCTGAGTGCCCCCGTTTGCTGTGACCTCGTCTCCGTGCCCTGATAGGGGGGGGGGGCTCGCTGGCCTGTCTCCCGTGCACGATCCAGGACGCTCGGAGGCAGCTCCTGGGAGAGGTCTTCGCGAGAACGGCGCAAGGCTACAGGGCCCAACTGAGATGACATGCCAATAATTATGCGAGGCCTCCAGGATGTGGTCGGAGCAGATGGGGTCGGAGGGTCACGCAGCATCGCCAATACACTGGCGATGCATCGGCGATCGACGTGAAGCCAGTCAGGCTCCACATCGAGCCGCATCGGCGATATGTCGGCGATGCGGCCCGATCCACCGACCCCATCTACTCCGACCCCAGACAAGAGGCCAGATAAGCCAACATCAAGCCCAGATCTAAGCAGGAAGAAACGGTAATCAAGGGAGTCTGGGAGCTCCACGATCCACGGGCCGAACAGAAACGCGGCGTCAGAGGTCTGGGACAGTCGATCCCATCCTCGCCCCCCTCGCCCCCCTGGCCCTCCTCGCCCGCTTTCGCCCTTCTCATCACCCTGCTCGCCCTCCTCCTCCTCCTCCTCGCCCTCTTCGCCCTCCTCCGCCGCCCCGCACTGACGTTCAGTTAGCCCTTCTCGTCCTTCCTCCTCCTCCTCCTCTTCCTCCTCCTCCTCCTCTTCCTCCTCCTCCTCCGCCTCCTCCTCCTCTTCCTCCTCCTCCGCCTCCTCCTCCTCCGCCTCCTCCTCATCCTCGCCCTGTTCGCCATCCCTCCTCGTCCTCCTCAATCACGTCGCCCTTCTTCTCGTCCTCCTCGCCTTCCCTCCTAGCACTGCCTGCCGCCTCGAGCGACGAGGGGCCAGATCCCGGCAGCAGCCCGGCTGGGGCGAGCGGACGGAAAGCTTGGTGAAGAGGCGGAGGTCCTGGTCAGGCGCCGAAAGCCCGCGCTCGCCACCCTCCGGGTCCGCCCCCTCTCCAGCGTTTCTCTCTCGTCCTCCCCATTTCTCTTCCCTCCCTTCCTCCTCCTTCCCCTCCTCCTCCTTCCCCTCCTCCTCCTCAGCATCATACTTAGCATCATCCGCTTCTTCCTCTTCCTGCTCCTCATCCTCCTCATCATCACCACCGTTAACCATAATCAGCAGAAACAGCATTCGCATCCTCACCGTCAGCATCATCATCAGCAGCAGCGTTGTCATCATCATCACCATCACCATCATCAGCAGCAACAGCAGCATGAGCATTGTCATACGCATCAGCAACATCATCACCATCACCATCACCATCATCAGCATCCGCATCATCATCCTCAGCAGCAGCATCATTAGCAGCATCACCATCATCAGCAGCAGCGTAGCATGCAACATTATCATCATCACCATCATCATCGCCACCACCATCATCACCAGCAGCATCAACATCACCAGCAGCGTTATCATCAGCAGCATCATCATCAATACCATCATTGTCATCATCATCATCATCATCATCATCATCATCATCATCATCATCATCATCATCATCATCATCATCATCATCGTGGTCATCATCATCATCGTCATTATCAGCATCATCATAATCAGCAGCATCATCAACACCATCATCATCCCCTACTACCACCACCACCGTCACAATAAGCATGAGTTAGCATCATACTGATCCTCAGCATCATCACCATCGCCACCACCATCATCCTCCACCACCACCGCCGCCGTCATCAGCAGCATCATCAAGATTATCACGGACCTCCGCTGCGCTGGCAGTCGGTGTCCCCCGCGCGAGTCGAGGCCTTGCTCTGAGGGGGCTGTGAACGAGCAGCGGAGCCGCATCTCCGCACGAAGAGGAGAAGGAGGAGGAGGAGGGGGAGGAGGAGGAGGAAGAGGGGGAGGAGAAGGAGGACGAGGGGGAGGAGGGAGGAGGAAACGAAGTCTGCGAGGAAGGAGGGGGGAAACGGGGGCTGGACGAAAGGGAGGAGGAGCTGGCGAGGAGCTGGGGAGGAGGAGAAGGAGGAGCGGAGGGGGGACCGAGGAGGAGCGACAGGCTCAGGCGACGAAGGTTCAGCCAAGGCGATGACGAAGAGGAACTTCGAGTGAGGAAGGCGGGAGGAGGGGGAGGAGGAGGAGGAGGAGGAGGAGGAGGAGGAGGAGGAGGAGGGAGGAGGGGCGGAGGAGGTGGAGGAGCAGGAGGAGTAGGAGGAGGGAGGAGGTGGAGGAGAAGGAGCAGGAGGAGGAGGAGGAGGAGGAGGAGGAGGAGGAGGAGGAGACAGAGTATCAGATCTCGCCTACGGGGGCCCACTCCAACAATCCTTCGGCACGAGACGAGAATACGACGCACGTGCGACCGCGCACCGATATTCTCACAACTCATGGGCGGCCCCCTCTGACTCTGCGGGCGCCCTCCGTGCCATCTCTCAGACGTCTATTCCCCGTGCATGGTTCGGTTTCGTGCGCTTCTTTTCCGCAGGATGATCCAGGATGCTCCTCGATGGCCTTCGCCAAGAAAAAAAACGCACACGTCCGAGCAACGCCGAGCCTCAGGCCCAGCAGCCATCGCGCTGTCCCGAACTGGACGCATCCTCTGGGGAAATCAGAAAGTACAATCCTGCTGGTCAGGCTACTCCCAGGACCTCTCCTGAGGTGCTCTCTGACCAGAATTTCGAGGCGAATCCAGCGGTGGCGACGAGGGCCTCCCGGGAGGCCCGAAAAGGGAAGACGATGGATAGGAAGGGAAAGCGGGGGGAGAGAAGAGGTAAAACACAGGGAAAGGGAAGGGAAGGGAACACGGTGGAAGGGAATGACGGAGGAAGGGAAGGGGAAACGGGGAAGGGCACGGAAAAAGTGGAAAAGGGGGCAGCGAGGGGAAAACGAGGGAAGGGTGGCGGTATAGGTACGTCTTCCTTCTCTGCGCATCCTTCGAGGGAGGCTGCCCTGGCAGTCACGGGGGCCCACGGCCTCCGGAGCAGCAAAACAAGACACCGGATGCCGCCGCCGCCGCCGCCACCACCATAGAGCCAGCACGGGCACGTCAGGGGGTGGCCACCAGGGAGCCGGCCGCCCATCTCCGCGGACGCCATCCTACAGCAGGGGCTCGACCACAAGAAGCCTTCCACATGAAGCCCAATGCGAAGACCCCAGGACGTCCATGGATTCTTGGTGTGGGCGCGCCACGCTTCCCATCGCAAAGCCATCGAGGCCCGAGAAACCAAGGGCACCCTGGAGGCAAGCAGGGTGTTCCTTGGGGGTTCCCACTGTATCCACTGCTGACTGGCCAGGCCCACCCTGGACCCAGCAGCAGCGTGTACGAGCCAGCCAGTGTCAGAAGGACGCAAGATGAGGATGCAAGGGCCTTGGACGCCCATTCCGAAGCTTTTCGAGCGGGGCGCGGCCAGCGAAAGCGGCCAGATGGACCGAGGAGGACACGATGCAAGGGTACCCTTGGGAAAATCGCCCATCCTTACTATGCGCGTTGACTGTATACACAGCTCTCGGGTTCAAGATGGGCCTGGCCAGGAAGCAATCTCTGTGCGTAAAATTCGGCGCCTGACTGCGTAGCCCTGCTGACCTGGATCGCCGTGAGATTACACCTGCGACCACTGCCACAGGTGGCTGCGCCGCCAGCGCCCGTCGAAGCATCCCCGCGTCGCTCCGTCCGCCCTTTCCGCCCCGTGTGACTGAGCCGAGGTCCCGCGTGCAGGAGAGGTTGCAGAGGACTTCCAGGCTCGCTACTCCCTGCAGCTTCAGGACCTTGATGTTGACCTCCAGATTGGCCAGACATCAGATGGCGAGACAATCAATCATGCAGGGCGCGGGATCGTGCGCATCCCTGTCGCAGCACTTCCTCCTCCTGCTCCTCCACCTCCTGCTCCTCCCGCTCCTCCTCCTCGTCCTCCTCCTCCCCATCCTCCTCCTAATCATCGCCAGCATCCTCAAGTTCGCCGACAAGCATTAAGAAAGTCGCACCAGGATAAAAAGGCCGCACTGGGGGCCAGGGAATTTCGATCGAGAACAAGAGAACGAGATGAGGAGGAATCACAAAGGGGCCACCCACAGGTGACAGGTGTCTGCAATAACACAGCTGTCTACACCTCGCCGCCAGGGGCATCGAGCAAGTAGGGAAAGGTGGGCAGAGGGGGGTGAGCCAAATGAGTCGACGGAGTCGGCATGCGGATCGTTTTCCGCTGTTGCGCCTTCCTTCTAGTGAAAAGTGGGAACGGGGACGCGGAGCTAATGGATGGGAACGCCCCCGCCCCTGGCAGAGAGATCCACGAGAACACATGTGAGTGGGAGAGAGAGAGAGAGAGAGAACAAAAAAGAGAGAGAGAGAGAGAGAGAGAGAGAAAGGGGGAGTGAGAGAGAGAGAGAGACGAACCCTGCCCGAACCTGTCACTCAATGATCTTCGTCTACCTCCTCCTCCTCCGCCTCCTCCGCCTCCGCCTCCTCCTCCTCCTCCTCCTCAAAGCCTCGATCCCGTCTTTCGGACAAGGCGGGGCGAGATCGAAGTGCCACTTCTTGCCGCCGCAGTACCCGTTCCCGAGCTCCTTGGGGTCGCACTCCCAGCGGTAGTCGAACTGAAGGGCGGCGGGCGATGCGCATGACAGGGAAGGAGGTGAGGGACTGCCCTGGCGCCGAGGGAAAGAGCAAGGTGAAGACTACTCGATCCAAAACTGCGAGAAAGGAGATCTACTGGTGCGAAAGGTGGCCTGGCCTTTTCCGGGCGAGGAGTATGATGGGGAGGTTGTGCTGGAGGTAGTTGTGTGGGCGCGCGCTCTACTCTCCAGAGGCGCCTGCTGGTCAGTCTGACGCTCGCCAGCGCGAACCGAATGAAATGAGCGCACGGGGTAAGCTTGTGTAGCCCACGGACTGGGGCCTCATATCTCATGTGTCCTGGCTCTGTTTCGTCAGATCGCACTCAATCCGTCGAAGCAATGCCTAGTCCAGAAATGCCTAGGACACTGGGGACCCGTACTCTTCCTTTAGGGTTGCACGAAAGTGTGTATTCTCACTCCATGAGTCACATGCCAAGCTCTTGCAGCAGAGCCGCCTGACCCACTAAGCATGAGAAATGGCGCGGAATGATGTCCTCGTATGCGGCGGCAAGCTGGCAAGGGTCACTCCGAGTGTACGGGATGTTGACGCGCACCTGAGACGTGGATGCGTGAGGGAGACGACGTGACAAGGGAGGGAAGTTAAACGAGGGGGGCGAAGGGATGAGGATGAGGGGGGGGAACAGGGGCGGAGGACAGAAAAGGAAACATACGTAAGTTCCCCCGTCCTCCGAGGGAAGGAAGATTCTGCTGTTCTTCTCCCCCACCCCTGTCCCCCTTCATTACTCCCCCCGCCCTCTGGAAGCCTCCCAGGACATCGCAAGAAACACATAGGACTCGCCAGAACGCTCCTCCTGACCCCAAAAAGCCACTGCATCCGGCCAGCGGGGACCTGAAGGACCTCCTGCTCCTCAACCTCCTCCTCCTCCTCGTCCTCCTCCTCCTCCTCCTCCTCCTCGCCACTACTCCTCCTCCCTTCGGCTGGCTTTTCCGTAAGGGCTTCCTCGGATAGGGTCGGCTACGGCTCACGCCACCGCCACGCGAGCCGCTCAAGGCTGCGCCGTGCCCACATAGCCTTGGACGCCTTTTCCACAATTTTGGGCGAAACAAGCGATACCGCACGGGGGAAGGGAAACCGGAGGGAGGGAAAGCGGGTGAGGGAAGGGGAAACGGGGCAGGGAGGGGAAACATGGGAAAACGGGGGAAGGGTGGAGGTATGGGTACCTTGTCCTCCTCTGAATTTTCCCGCAGACTCCCTCCTGCCTTCCCCCCCTGCCTCGCCCCCCCCCCCCCCTGTCCCTCGCTGCATCACTGTTCAGGCGTAGACACCCGCACTCCTCGAGCCATCGAGGGACTGCGCCGCAGACTGGCCCTTAGGACCAGGCCGGCTCACCGTACCGCCCATCGTCCAGCACAGAAGTAAGGCAACCGTCTTCGGGAGCTTGAGGAGGAGGAGGAGGAGGAGGAAGAGGAAGAGGAAGAGGAAGAGGAGGAGAAGGAAAGGGAGGAGGAGGAGGAGGAGAAGGAGGAGGAGGAGGAGGAGGAGGAGGAGGAGGAGAAGGAGGAGGAGGAGGAGGAGAGGAGGAGGAGGAGGAGGAGGAGGAGGAGGAGGAGGAGGAGGAGGAGGAGGAGGAGGAGGAGGAGGAGGAGGAGGAGGGAGGAGGAGAGGGAGGAGGAGAGGGAGGAGGAGAGGGGGGGAAAAGAGGGAGGAGCAGGAGGAGGAGGAGGAGGAGGAGGAGGAGTAGGAGGAGGAGGAGAGGACGAGGAGGAGGATGAGGAGGAGGAGGAGGAGGAGGAGGAGGAGGAGGAGGAGAAGAAGGAGCAGCAGCAGCGGCAGCAACACCAGCAGACAGCAGCAGCAGCAGGAGGAGGATGGAGCAGGAAGCCTCCGGCCGCCGAGTGGGGGGAAAGGCATCGGCACAGACGGGCCTGGGGCTCCTTTACCCGGAGCGGCGTTGGCGTGCACAGTGCGACCAGGGCAAGAGGATGCGCGGTGAGGATGTGCAAAGCCCTTGGACGCCCAGACTGAAGCCTGGGTTGGAAACACACAGTGGAGGCCAGTGCACAAGAAACCTTCCACAAGAAACCCAAACCCTGAGACCTCAGGACGTCCATGGATCTTTGGTGTGGGAACGTCGCGCTGTCAACAGCAAAACCATCGAAACCCACGAAACCCAGGCATCCTGGAGGCAAGCAGGGTGCTTCTTGGCATCGGTCTCCACTGTATGGCTGAGGTCCAGGATGGACCGAGAGGCAACGACGCAAGAGCACCCTTGGAAATCCACCGACCGTTTGGGGCGCATGTGCGGAATGGTTGTTCTGACCGCTTCTTGCGGTCGCGGGGAGAGGTTCACCTCTACCCCCCTCCCCTTGGGTCCGACGGGGCCCAGTCGCGACGGGTTAGGGCGTCCCAGATGGCCAAATGTGGCCCCAGGGCCCAAGGGTGAACAACAGATAGCCCAAGGTGGCCTCGAAGGTCGCACCAACTTTCCCAAGACGGCTCAAGATAGCTTCCAACATGTCTCCAAGAGGCGTCATTACCGTCCGAAGACGGCTGCAAGTGGCCACGGAGCCTCCCAAGAACCCCTCCCCCAGAGGCCAACATACTTCCGACATCTAGTAAAGCCAGCAATGTTTCTTGCCCGCCTGTTCGCTTCCGATGGGCTCTTCGGGCTTCAGGATGCCTCCAAGATAGCCAAAGGGAGCCCCAAGTGGCCCAAGAGGAGAACAAGACGGCCACAAGAGCGCCCGAGAGCTCCACGAGATGGCCCCAAGAGGCGATATTGAGGGCTCCGAAGGGGGGAAGCTAATCCGCGCCGCCCTCCTTTTTGACCGATGGCCCCAAGAGGCCCCTCCAGGCTCAAGGCCTCCAAGAGGGCCCCAAGGGACCCCCAAGAGAACCCCAAGAGGGCCCTAATGGAGCCAACATGTAAGGCCTCCAAGAGGGCCCAAAGGGAGCACCAAGAGGACCCCAAGGGGGCCCCAAGAGAGTCAGCACGGCATCCGCAGTGGTCCCAAGAGGGCCCGAACGGGGCCCCACGACGGCCCAAAGATACCTCCAAGAGGCTCCCAGAGCGTGACTGCATGCTGCTGCACCTCCCTGATCAGGGCAACTCGCAGGGCAATTGTTCTTGGAGGGGCTGATGTGGTCACGCGACGGGTTACGACCTCGCTCATCCTTGTGATGCGACTTGGCTGTAGCCGGCATCCCGGCCGACAGGTCCCTCCCCCTGTCCGGGGCCCCGATCCCAAGCTCTCGCCTGGGATGTGTATATATATATATATATATAGACTATGGGCCAGGCTGGGCCTGGCTCACTATGTTACGCGCGTGTTCACCAAGATGGCCTCGAGATCCCCATAAACATGCGCAGGGCTGGACCTAAACGTGGTTTTTCGTTGTGTGTTCGTTTTGCCTTCGTTTTGCTCTACCTGTTGTCCTGTACCTCCCTACCAAAAACGAAAAACCAACCACAGCCAAGTCCAGCCAATCAGCGTTTAGGTCCAGCCCTGGACATGCGAGGATATCGTGAAAGAAGAGCGGCGGCGTGAAACAAATCACGACAGGAGAGCTCGGCCCTATCTGGCGGCGCACACAGGGGGGCAGGGGGAGGGGGGAAGGTTTCTTAGAAGGAGGCTGCTTCTCAGAAGCCGCGAGTCTTGCATCTACAGACAAGGCCCGCGCCTTCTAAGAAGCCTTTCCCCCTCCCCCATACCCCCCTCTGCGCGCGGCCGACACATTTCTCATGCGGCATGGTCTTAAGCTAGATCGACCCAGAAGGGCCACAGGCGCCCCAAAGGGGGAGAGCTTAAGCCGGTCGCGCTCCGTCGTCAACGGCGCCTGGGCTTCCAGGGTCACAACCAGGCCTTCGCAGGGAGACTTCGAAGAACAGAACGCTGCACAAACATCATTTCCCAGAGGTCCGCGGGGACTTCCTCGATCGACGCGGGACCCCCCTCACAGGCGCACGGAGCGCGCCGAGAGAGGCGCCCGAAGCACCGCCCCGAGGGGGCCCAGCGCCGATCCAGGAATGCCGCGCGGGCCTCCGGGAACTTGTTTAAGAGGGCAGAACACCCGCCCCCATGAGAATCACCCCGACGCGCGAAGCCGTTTTGTAATTGCTCCCGCAGAAGGAATCGAACAGGGCAGGGCTGTCTAGTGAATGCCCGGGCCGATTCGTAAGCGCCAGTTCTCGGGTCCGGGTGGTTTTTCCTGCCTCGATTGTAGAAGGCCCTCCCGGGTGGACTGGCAGCAGCGGCGGGGGCGGGCAGCGCACAGGCAGCGGGTGGTGCTCTCTGTTGACAACGACGGGCTTCTCTGTGAGCGCGTCGAGCAGGTCCATGGCCGCCTGCGGCGCCTTCTTCACCAGGTCTGCCAGGGCGGGCGCGGAAAGCGGCGGCATGCAGAGGGACAGGAGGAAGGAGGAGGAGGAGGAGGAGGAGGAGGAGGAGGAGAAGGATGAGGATGAGGATGAGGATGAGGATGAGGATGAGGACGAGGACGAGGAGGAGGATGAGGAGGAGGAGAAGCCACTGGGGCTCAGGCCATTTTGGCGGAGCACAGGGCTCAGGCGCCGCGCCCCCTCACGGTAGTTGCTCGTGAAAGCTCCCGCGGCTAGGCCGGCGGCTGAGCACCAGAGGGCGCGCGCGACCCACGGCGCGCTCGGGGCGCCGCAGAGGCTCCCCCGAGCCAGCCTGGCACAAGAGGCAGCGGGCACAGCGAGGGCGAGCTCGCCTTCTCCTCAGTGTATTCCAGGCCAAGCGCCTCCTCGAATCGCATCACAGCACGATGGGTGGAGGTACTTGGACATGCAGGCAGTGCGAGACAAGAAATCCTAACTCTCAGTGGACATGCTCATGTGGCAACGTGTGGGCTCCTCGCCCCGATCCCACCAGACGTTCGGCCAGCAGAAAAAGGGACCAGAAGAAGTCCGCCAGCATAAGGGTGTTGATCGCACAGATCCCTGTTGCAGCACCTGATGAAGCGATTGCCAACATCACGGTGTGGGAGCCGCCGCCACCAGAGGCGGACGAGCTGAAGTTCTACAAATCAAGGGCCCAGTCGAAGCTCCAGAAGTTCGCCAACCTCCTTGTCGCGGTCCGTGACGCAGGAAAGGAGGACCCAGCCCTGGAGTTCGACATAGGGGTGCTCAAGTACATGATGAGTGCATGCAAGGGCTCAGAGAAACAGTTGCATGAGTTGAAGGCCCAGCTCATCAGCGCAAAAGAGAGGCTCCGCAAGATTCGAGCTAAGATCGAGGAGCTGTTAGACGAGGAGGCGACGCTCTGCCTGATGGTGCAGAAGCTGCAGAACTCCATCCAGCAGCTACGAGAAGCGGAGGACGCACCAGATCACGAGGAAGACTGGTTGATGGCCCCGCCAGGAGGAAGTGAACATGGTCTCAGAGCAGCCAGCAGTGCCCAGAGGCCGTGGGTGCAGGCGGCGGCTGAGAGGGCGGCAGCACAGGCGGAGGCAAAAGCTCAGTCAGCCAAGGCCGCGGCGGAAGCAATCGCCAGCAGAGTGCCGCCGCCGCCGCCACCAACACCCAATCAGCCCATGGCACAGACTCAGGCATATCAGCCACCCCAGAAGGCAGCACCAAGGGCAGCCTCAGGGGCGCCGCGCAGCCAGCCAGCCACTGCAGCCGCTGCGCCGAAGGCTACAGAGCCCGACGGCCCGCGTGCAGCATGGCACAGTGGACTTCGTACGGAGGGGCAAGAGGGCCCAACGGCGGCGGCCATCACTGCGATGACGGAGCAGATGAGAGCCGTGCAGGCCCAGCAGCTAGCCATCCAGGAGCACCTCTCGAGGATGCAGACGGGCCAGAACTTCCATGCCTTCGCCCTGGCCAGGGTATTGGGAGTCGGCATCGGTGCAGCAGCAGGTGATGTCCTCATGGATGCGCAGACGATTCAGAAGGCGCAGCGGGCGGTGATTTCGGGACTCTCGATCCCTAGTGCGAGCCCCCCTGATCTTCAGGGGTTGGCGCCTGAGCGCACGCAGAGGGACCCCGCCTCCACGGCGCCAGGTTTTGGCGAAGCCCCCCCTGGTGCAGCGCCAGCCACGGGGCCGAGGGCGCCCACGCAGCGCAGAGCGAGCTCGCTAGAGCCTCCCGTGGCAAGGACACCGCCGCCGAAGAGACAGTCGGCATCGCCGAAACCAGCCAGGGCCCCATGCAGAGGCGTCTCAGCCGAAACCAGGGCCCAGGCCGAGGAGAAGGCAGTTCCAGACACACCGAGGGCGAAGGGCGTGTCCAGGGTGACAGCAGAACTGCAGAGGAACGAGCCCAAGGAGGAGGTCCTGCCGATAGATCCAGAGCTACTGATCGCGACGCAGCCAATGGTGATGGAGGAAATGATACCTGGGCCAGCACACATCTTGCAGCACATCCAGGGGGCCTCCATCGACCTGATCAGTCAGACACAGCGCTCTCCCACGCCACCGCCAGCGCAGAGGTCGCCTGGATCGCCAGTGGATCCTCCCCAGCCAGTGCCAGCGGCGCTGTTCCCCCCCGCGTGGGCAGCAGCAGCAGCGGCGGCAGCAACATCTTCAACGGCAGCATCGTCAGCATCGGCAGCGCCTGCGGCAGTGCCCGCGGCATCAGCAGCGGATGCACCTCCTGCGGCTTCGAGGACCCGACCGCTAGAGGAGGAGGAGAACAAAGAGAGGGACATGGGAGACTCGCCCAACAGGTCCCCCCCCAAGAAGATGCAGTGCCAGGGTTACGAGCTGGAAGACGGGTCCAACTTGTAAGGCCCAGCAGGGTCTCATGGGGCACAGTCGAAGTGAAGTGCTTCGAAGCGCATGCACCCATAATTGTCCGACAAGCCAGGGAGACGCTTTCTCGGACCTGTTTCACTAGGCCGATTCTTAGGTCGGCCCATGCCTCGGATATCTCGACCAAGGGATGTGGTCTTGGGAATTCGCAGCCAGGCAATATTTCTTCGGCAGCCACTTCAGGTGATGCCACTGAGGACTCATCATCAGCTTCCACTCGGTCCAACGGCCGAACGAGGTATCGCTTGCGGGGCAAGGCCTCGAAGGAGCATCTTTTCTTGCCTCGTCCTCGCGAAGTACAGCACGCTGCACATGGGGCGCGAGGACACGAGGCCAATCAAACGTCAATTACAGTTGCGGTGGTGACTGCCCCTCCCCCCCCGCCGTCGCACCCCGCTCCAAACAGGGAGCAGCTCGAAGCAGTTGCCGGGGGGAGTGCGATGGCGTTGAGGGAGGACGGTGGGTATACTACTTCCCTTCGTCTGTTCCCTTTACTTTTCCAGTATCCTGAGAGCAATGGCAGTGGGCACTGTGATTTTCAGGAAGTGGACAGGATATATCAGGTTTTACTCCAGAACATCAACTGGTTTGAGCTTTGCAATGACGATTTTGGGGATATTCCCTTACATCACACTGCCAAATTTGCTCTGGATATCTCTGCGCGCGGGGCACATAGAGCGAGATCAGTACATATCTATGTCGACGCCTCGTACAGAAAGACGCTCAGAGACTCAGCCTGGGCCTTCGCTGCTGTCGCGATCTCGCCTGACGACACGGTGAGCTTCCTGGGATGGCAAAAAATGAGCGCGTGGGAATCCACAGCAATGCATTTCGAAAGGGACGACGTCACTAGCACGACTATCGAGCTCATGGGGATATTATGGAGCTCACTCTGGGTCTTGGGTTTCTTCGGGCCGAACACGGTGCACTCCCCCCCAGCTCTGGCCATTTTTTGTGATAACCAGTCGGCTGTCAACAGATCCTTGGGTTTGGAGGTCCCGTCGGAGAACCAGCACCTGGCCTGGCTTACATACCATACATACCAGTGTGCGCTCAGGAGACACGGCACTTTGCTTTTGCATGTATGCGGTCACTCTGGGCATCCTTGGAATGAGTTGGCAGACAGTCTTGCACGGTCGGACCGAGCGGCTGGGTGTTCACCCCCGCCGGCCTTACGCGAGGCACTCAGGTACACGAACGACCTCGAATGGTGGTGGCTAAAGGAGGCACCTGCAGCCACAAGAGAAGCGTACCCTATAGGCCCCGACAACACCTTTCGGTATCCTGGGCGCCCTCAAGTGTCGGTGGAGACGCTAAGGGACACTATGGGATCCCAACCCTCGCAGAAGGCGACCCCCAAGTCTTGCCAGTTCAGTATCAGCGTGAGGCTTGCCACCTTCAACGCCAAGACAGGCAGGGACGCGGAGGCCACGGCGGCAAGGCGCGCCAAAACGTCGGGAGAGGTTCTCAGGTTGCAGTTCGCTCAAGAGCAGTGCCACATCATTGGGGTGCAGGAGGCGAGGAATCCGTCGGGGGAGAGATGTTCTGCTGGTTACTTTGTGCTTTCCTCGGGTTCCGATGGCGGCAAGAACTTGGGTGTCGAGCTTTGGGTCTCACTGCACCTACCTTACGGGCGACGAGGGGGCGAGGAGCTTTTCTTTGAGCAGAAACATTTTAGACCGTTGTACGCTACCCAGAGGCACCTGGTGGTTGGCTGCTGTGCCCCACTCTTTAGGAAGGTCATCCTAGTTGCCCATGCGCTGCACAACGGTGACGAGTATACCTCGCAGCAGAGGAAACAGTGGTGGCGGGACCTCATTGGGATCTGCCATAAATGGAAAGTACAGTTGGCCTTCCTGGACGCGAATGCCAGGCTCGGCAGCATTGTGTCTGAGGCAGTGGGCAGCGAAGGATTCAGGCAAGAGGAGGACGAATCGGGCGGGCTGCTTCATGACATGCTCTTGGAGACGGGCTTAGCTGCGGCTAACACGCTAGTCCCCTCTCTCAGCAAGGACTCGTACACGTTTGTCTCGACGAAGTCGGAAACACCACACAGAATAGACTACATTGCGGTTGAACAGGACATGATTCCCGCATTGGGGCAACATCAAGTACGATATGATATTGATTCCTTTTGCACTGGCAAGGATCATTATCCTGTATTCATGCGCTTCGAGTCCCCGGGCTCCACCAAAGCAGCGCAACAACAGAGCGGCTACGACGCTAGGGGCACCCAGGACCCTGATAAGGCAGCAGCATTCAGGATGCACCTGGCAGCGTTTCCCACGGTGCCTCACCAGGTCGACATGAATCAGCACTTGCACGACATCATTCAATACATGTCCGTGGGTGCACAAGCTTGCTTCCCTAAACCCGCACGTACTCCGATCAGGCCATATGTTTCAGAGGCTCTTCTGGGCATTATCATCTTCAGAAGGCAAGTACGGCAGGCGTGGCGTCTCTGGGGTAAGCAGGACTCCAATGGGCTCAGGAGGCTGGTCGCCGCGGCGCTGGAAGCGGGGGCCCCCCAGAACATCACCGATCTCGAGCTGGACCTCCTGGTCT